AATAGATATGAGAAAGACATGCTGGCCTTTACCGGATGCAGTCATAACCTCACAGCAGAGGAGGCTATGGAACTCAAGACTATGAGGTATGAAACTAAGCACTGGAAGGAGAAAGAGATCAATGCCATTGAAAGACGATTGCAAGGGGGGTGCCCTATGTCCCCTAGAGAGGCGGCCATTTTTCTCAAAGCCATGGGCTACCCTTCTACAACAAAAATCTACATAGTTGCAGGCCCGATCTATGGAAGAAACAGTTTAGATGCCTTCCGATCTGAGTACCCTAATGTATTCACTCATTCAACCCTGGCAACAGAGGAAGAACTGGAGCCCTTCAAACCATATCAAAATCGCCTTGCTGCATTGGATTACATTGTTGCCCTGGAAAGTGATGTCTTTGTCTACACTTATGATGGAAATATGGCCAAGGCAGTGCAGGGCCATAGGAGGTTTGAGGGATTCAGGAAGACTATAAATCCTGACAGGTCAGTTCTAAATGCCAAATACGTGTCCCTATTTTGAAAATTTTATATAATATGCATTTCTGACAGGTTTTTCGTTTCCTTTTTCATTTCCAGATTAAGATTTGTAAAACTGATTGATAAGCTGGATAAGGGTGCTATATCTTGGGAAAAATTTTCTTCCAAGGTTAAAGACATACATTCAAACAGGGTAGGCGCACCTTATCTCAGACAGCCAGGTGATTCACCAAGGACAGAGGAGAGCTTTTTCGCTAATCCCTTCCCAGGTTGTATCTGTGACCAGTCGCAGGAGCTGCTTACAAGACTTAAACTTGACCAAAGCCGGAAGCTTAGTCTTAAAACCCAAAGAGGGTAACCGGGTTTTGGTATGACTAGCCCAAGATGATAGATTTACGCCAGTGCCTAAAAAGGCAGCAGTACATCAGTTGAGGTGGCAATGTGCTTTCCTTATTCAGGCTAGTTATTTTGGTTAATGTGCCACGGAAGGATCGAAGGACATATGGGGCTTTTGCCATACGATTCAAAAGAGACGAATTTTGGTTGATGCAAACCGAATGGGGAAAAGATTTATAGGCGAAGGAGGAAAGTAGAGGGGGCTGTGTATAATTTAAGGAGGTTAGTTTATACTTGGGAGATAGACATCTAGCAGAAGGGAGTATTGTCCCACTGATTCATTGATTCTTTATTGGAAAAGGGGGGTGTTGAAGTTGCAAATTGATTGCAATTCTGCTTTTTAATTTTTTTCCCGTACAGTTTAGCTGAGGAGATTAGATTCATACGTTCCATTTGATGCTTGTTCATAATTTTCCCTTCGTTTTTGGATGGAGACGCCCGTGATTGCCGGTTGGTTCCAATATACAGTAATTTCATCAGTTTTTTCTCCTATTCTTCATTGCGTGCCAGCTATACTGAGAAAAGGCCATCTCTCCTAGTTACAAATCAATTCCTAGAAGGAATTAACCTTCTCCGAGTTTGTGTCCATGTTTCAAAGTTCTAAAATGAATTTACGGACGTGAGATATGTACTAGTAAAATAATCTAACTAATAATTCAAGCCAGTCTAAAGATTTAGATCAGAAAATAGCTATATTTTGAATCATGAAGAATAGATTTGAACTCTTCAGAATCCAATATATCAATATGTAGAGATCACACCTGTAATAAATCCCATTATCTAGAAGTAGCACAGCATGATTTGTTCTTTTAAATTCCATGTACAGTGTATTGAGAAAGCGTGTGGGGGTGAACAAGTCTACATAGAAAAGTCATTTATCGGTGACATTGATAAACTTTGTGGGAATTTCTTCAAGCTGAGCTGATGCAAGTGAAGTCAATATGGGGTGACAGAGTCGAAGTGATGGAATCATGGAAGCTTCAAAAGGTCCCATAAGAAAACATATATTGTCCATGAAGAAACGAGTACGACTGAAAGTGGCCATGGGAAATGAAACCACTCCAATGGCGTTTCACCAAGACTTCTTCAACCTAGTCATGCTTGACCAAACTCGAATATGACAATGGAAAGCGAAGTAGTACACAAAATTGACTTGGAATTGTCAATCATAAAAAGAGTTCTTTTTTTTTTTGTTAAATAAGGAGATAAAAAACCTAAAGAACCAACTCGACGAATAAAATGCAGAATGCAGGAGACCTTAACAAACTTGATATTTTAAAATATTTAAATAACTTTCAACCTCTTCTCGTTTTTAATATAAAAACTAGTTAAGAATTAAATTTAATTATAAATATAATACTCCAATTTATTTTTTCTTTCATCTTTTTTTTAAAAATATTCTCACTGATTGTAAGAGGTTTTCATCCAGGAATAATTTTAATCATCCCATGCACCTTATTAAAAGAGGATGGTTTAAGATATTTGTGACAAATAATTAATTTAACTAATTTTTTTAATATCTCTAAATTAGTTATCTAATTATTATATTAAGGACTAAAAATAATAATTAATTATCTATACTACATTTTATCTTATGCATAAACAATTAACTCATTAGGCTTAAGTAAAGCATTTATTCTTCTTTCGTGTACCACCAATTAATTTCCTCCCCCGCAAATTGCTTCAATTTAATTTGTGTACTTCTATCCTTTATTTGCTTATCTCAAATCAACATATGTTGATAACTTATAAAAATATAATATATTACCTTTGATATTTAATATAAGATTTAATTTATAGTGCATTACAAATTATATTTTATATAAAAGACGGAGATATCTTTCCTTAAAAAAATAAAAGAGTAGGTAGCAACCCATTTCTTAGTCAAGCATTTAAAATGCATGTACATTACTCCTACTTCTATAGAATTCAAAGTCATTCACAATCAATTATCCAGCCATTAGTTTACACTTTCCAACTTAACGGCGCCCTCAGGGCCTTCAGACTCCGGTCAGTTTCCGAGTATACGTAGCCACTAATTTCCCCAAATCTGACTACCCTTTCTTTTTATTCCAGTGGGCCCTTTATTATTAACACTTACGCGTACTTTTCTTTCTGCCATGTATTGCTTTCGCTCCTTAATATAAACAAATAAATTTCAAACCCACGCCTAACTTTAATTAAAATCACATTTTGAGGTAAACTGTCAATGTTTTCAAAATTGAAATACTCCTCCGGTCCTAATTATAAGACCCAATTAACTTATTTAAGGAGATTAAGGAAGTAAGTTAAGTTGGTTATTTATAATAAATAAGTGTTGTTATTCCTAAAATATCTTTGCTAATTAAGTATATTGGCTAAAACTATCATTATTAGAAGGATTATCTTGGAAAAAAATACATAAATATAAGAGAGAAAATAGATTGGGTCTTATAATTAGGACCAAATAAAAAGTCAAATTGGGTCTTATAATAAGGACCGGAGGAGTAGTAATTGAACACAAAGGACCAATGGCTTAAAAAAATAAGTTAAACTATTCAATGATTGAAAGTGGTGATGAGTATCATGATACCCATTGTTATGATGAATACCATAATACTTATCATTGTGATGAAATCTACATCATTCTAGTATAGTTTTAATGGTTTAGATTTAAAATTTTTAAATTATGATTTTTAAATAAAATTTATTATTTTTTGAAAACCGTACAGTTAAGAGATTATATTTTTTATTGTATACCTATTAAAAGAAAATATTTTTCAAAAAATAAAAAATAAAAATTTAAATCTTAGCCGCCCATATTAAATTTGTACGATTGATATTTGATATGTATCATGGTACTCAATATTATAATGAGTACTAAAACTGGTTCCTTAACTATAGTGAATAAAAGAACCTTTTACAATTCTTTTAAAAAAATAGAAGTAGGTATATTTGGGCCGGACTTTTCAAAGGAAAGGCGGAAACTTTTGGACACAAACGCACGCCAAGAACCAATACAAATAATGGTCGGGCACAAGGCCTTAAGCTGTAGCTTTTGTGCTTGTTTACAACAGTAATAACAGAATATGAGACAAGTGTACAAAAAAATTTTTTATCTCAGTTTATGCAAACATACTAATAAACACTTAACATAAGCAAGTACAAACAAGCCCTTTAAATATCACCAATCCAAATTAAAAATTTTAGTAAAGTAATGGAGGGTGTTTTACCAACAAAGCTAAAATAAAACCAAAATGTAAAATAAGTTTTTAGACAACATAAACCTGTGTGTATACCATCTCCAATCTTTAATATAAAAGCTAACAGGAGGTTGAATTTGACTCTAAATATAAGATTTCAATCAATTTTATTCGTCTTGTTTATTCAAAATAACCCCATTGATTGTATATGTCAAAAAAAATTTGTATCAAAAATTAGTATCAATCCAAATGATTTAAAAAGCTATTTTAGAAAAACCAACACATTTTTAACAAATAACTAATTTAACTACTTTTTTAATACACTCAAATTAGTTAAGTAGATATTATATTAAAAACCCGAGATAATATTTATTTCTCAAAGATCTCAAACCTAAAACATGGCAACCTTCAAGGAACTAGACACGTGTACCATTCATGACTCGCAGTAGAATGTGGGATCGTATAATTTTAATGCTATGTATCGATAATTGATAAGTTGACATCGATTTGCAGCCCTTGTGAAGTATATGGGAATGGACTTCCTAGTTGTCGACTCACATGAAAATGGGAATACAAAATCACATGGATGTGAGCAATGAGGGTGAGAATGAAGAGATAACACCTACAATTGCATTACAAATATTAGTGTACAATCCATTTCTCACCTACAAAATTTTCAATTGGTGGAATCCACCACATTTGTTACGAGAATGAAAGGATGTGTCATTGAATGAATGAAATGGAGCCAAACACAAAAGCAAACAGTTTATGCAACCTAGAGTCCCAGTCTGTGACTGTTGAGTTCTCCCACCTTCCCTGGTTTCAGCCGAAGTACTAAAACTCTTCGAGAATATCTATTCACCAAAAAAAACTTTTGGAGAATATCTGGATAAACCATTTGAACCAAGAAATACCCAGAATCAAGGCTCTAAACTATATAAAGGCACACAAACCATCTATTTGTCACCACATTGAAGGCACATAAACTTGTTCTTTAAGATTCTGCGCAGCACTTTCTGTGGGAAAGCCTCTTACCGCACCAATGGTCCATTGTGCTATTATTCCAGCTGCAACCGCAAAGCGAAGTTGTCTCTCCAAAATGTCTTGGTTTTCAAACATTTCTGGGCATGAGGTCAGCTTTCGTATAAGAGCAGCCACAATTGCGTCGCCGGAACCAGTTCTATCGCATGTATATGGAGTTATTAGAACATCTTCAGTTCCAATCACAACCCCATCAAAACTAGGGGTATAATAATGAATTCTAAATGTTCCATCCGTCACAAACAAGATTTTAAGTTTGTCATGCCACAGAGGAGAGATTTCCTCAGGAGTGTAATGATAATAATCTTGCTGATGTTTTTTGGTTTCTTCGTAGTTCTCAGCATAGTATTGAGGTCTGTAATTTCTCTTTCTCTCGTAATATTCTTCATCAAGAAGGAATTCTAGCTCAGTCTTTGAAACTTCAATAATGTCAGCTTCACTCCATGCTTTATTGATCAATTCTTTTGACTCATCAGGTGATTTCCACAGAGGTAAAGGGAGGTTCGGATCGAAAAACACAAGGCCTCCAAATTTCTTAGACAATGCAATTGCTTTGAAGAGGGTTGATTGCATTGAAGGGGATGTTAAAACTTCTGAATTGAAATGGAAAAGCCTTGCCTACAGTAATTCAGAAAAGAAAGTTCTTGAGTTGGTTAAGAGCAACAACCATTACACCAATGCATTCAAATCACATAAAATTATCCTAACCAGCAAGATCCAAATCATCAACAAGAAGGACATAGAAATAGAAGGAACAATAGGGCTTGAAATTCATAATTTCTTAAAGTATTGAATGTTACTCTTATGCGGCAAATTTACTAGTATGTTAATGGATCAAACATGGAAGAGGAAAAACCGTTTACAGCAATTCAGAGGGATTCAATGGTTGGATGAAACATTATCTTCCCTTACCAAAAATGGATTCAATTTTTCTAGGATGTCTAAACTCAGATAAAGCCCAAAGGCATCCCCGACCATGATACCCAAACAAAATTCCCATGCCACCAATCTCTATCCTCTATGTTCGTACAAGTAAATGCATGCAACACATTCGAAAAGGGATAAAAATAAAAGAGACAGAGACCACAGATATAAAGTCCCCACAAACCATATTATTAGTTTGCGTCAGTCTCTCAAGTTTCAGTTCGATAGATCAGTAACAGAAATTTAGCTGCAGCGAAGAAGTCAATGGGTATGCAATTATTATAGAAAGAAATTCATCAACCAAATGATCATTTAATCACTATACTAATTTCCAAAGCCTACCAGTATTAGCGAAGTTGTTTTGATTAAGTTGAATAATCATAGTACAGAGAAGTAGGCATATGAACTCTCACCTCTTTGAGAACAGAAAGGTTCAGTTCAGAGCTTCTAAGTGAATCCTCAGCCGACTCTTTAGTCGTCTCCATCTTCATTTTCCCATCCTCAAACTTCACCTTCATGTACGTACATCCAGTCTTCACATTGGAATCAAATTTCACAGCCCGCGTCTGAACCTTCTCCTTGTTCATCATCAAAACCAACTCATCCCCATAACTGTCGTCCCCAACCTTTCCCATGAATGCCGCTCGCCCGCCGAGCCGGACATGGGCAATCGCCACATTCGACACCGGTCCTCCCGGAGCCCTCCCGAACTCCGGCGGCTTCCATTGCAGCATTTTCCACTCCGAGTAGATGTCCGGGTCCATCGGGTATTCGTGCACCCGCACTGTGGGGACGAACTCCTTCTGTACAGCGCCGAAGCAGCATATTAATGGCGGGTCGTCATAAGAAAAATCCATACCGTCGTCGTAATTTTCTGCCTCTTCTTCTGTTATTTCAGCTTCGTTTGCTGTTTCTATCGCAGGTTTCGCTTGAAATGCGCCCAGTTCGACAAGGGTTCTTCTCCAACGCATGGATTCTTTTGCTGGAGAATCAGCAAAGGAATACAAAGAGGACGAAGATGGGGTTTTGCTTTCTTCAGTTGTTTCACCTTCGTTTGCTATTTCTTCCGCAGGTTTCACTTCCAATGTGCCATTTTCGACTTTGGTCTTTTTCGAGCGCTTCGATTGTTTTGCTGCGGTAGACGAGGAAGACGAAGAGGGAGAAGACTGGGGCTTCTTTTTCCTGCCTCGGCGTGCTGGGCTCGGGGTTTCAATAGCTCCATTGTCGCCATTAACGGACACTCTGACTGGGTGTAGCTTTATCTGGTGAAAAGGAGTAAATTTGAAAGGAATTTGAAATTTTAGAACTTTAGAACTCGCATTTCCCAGCTCTGAGGGATGGAAGAAAGAATCTTGAGAGTAGCGAAAGGGAAGTGGAGATGAAAGAAGATGAAATGACGCCATTGATAGATTAATGGAAGAATTCATCCATGATGAGCTGAGCTTCGCTAATCTTTTCTCCGATGAATCCTATCGGGTTACTGTATATTTGAATTATCCTTTGCCTGTTTACCAGATCCAGTCGGGTACCCGCACTGGGCCGGGGCAGTTGGCCTTTTGTGCTTTTAATATGCAAATTATAGCCACTTGCTGTTTTCTCACAAATTTACTTCAAACTTCATAAAATCACTTCTAAAATTATAATTTGATTTTCACCTAAATACCCTCTTAAACTTACTTCACTTTTTATAAATAATCTTACTCCATCACAAAGATCAAAAAATTAATTAAAATTGGTTTAAAATAATAAATGTGTAGAAATTGAAAGTTTTTTCTTCAAAATATCCTTATCTGTGAGAAGGATTATAAGAAAAAATAAAAAATAAATATAATAAAGAGAATTATAAAAGAGAGGGAATATATGATGGTAGGAGATGATGGCTTAAAAAATGAGATAATAAATATATTGAGTATTAAAGTAAGTAATTAATGAAGACAAAATAAAAAACTTACTACAAAAATTTAAAACAACTTGCAAATATTACTTATATTTGAGACAAGAAATAGATGATAGTTGTTGTTTATAAAAAAAACAGAGGGAGTATTAATTTTTTAACAATATATTTTATTGGGAAAAAAATCATTCTGCAATTATACTTAGCATTTTATTAAAATAGATAGGTTTTATTGAATAAATTATAATGAGTTGAAATATTTAGTTTATGCATATAAAAAAATAATAAATCAATTTAAAAGTCAATTCTATCCCTGTATATATATGTATATATATCTGTTTTATAATTGTACTTGTCAAACACTGTTATTTGGCGGCAAAAAAAAAAAACACCGTTATTTATGACAGATTTGGTTTTTATTCTGATTTTAACAGTTTAGCATCATAATTAGCACAAGTTCATCCAAAGATTTTGACATGTGAATTGGGGTTGTGTAGCGTCGCTACATACAGTTCTGCATAATTAGGAACTTTGAGCTGCAGGGCGTATATCCGTGCTTTAGTTCTGGTTGTTCCATTGATGTGGTGTTTTGAAGTATTAATCTCAGCGTGATTCGTTTCAGAGAAGCATTGATATATGAAATCCCAATCAACCTGGTTCATACAAGTGAAGCAACTAGTGCAACCTACAAGTGGTTCCATTTCATCAATGCTTACTCTGTTTCTCGGCTAATAAGTGACCAAGAATATGCCTGTATGATACAAATGGTCCTAATACAAGCACTCGCGGAGCATTACTTAAAACTGTCTTCTTCTTCGTCTCCTATGGTGTTGAATCATTCATTGTCTCGTTCTAACTTGTGCACTCAATGTCTGCTATTAGATGCCTGTTTTACTTCAATTGATTCAATTGTTAAGGAGTATCTTTATTCAAATACGGCAGAAAATGGTTTTCTGGACACTGTTAAAGGGGTTACTGTTATTTGCAAGTGCGTTAGCTATGTTGAATAGTTTCCTTCGTCCAAGAGGATGGAGATTAACAGAACTTATAGGACAAAGGGCAGGTGATAGGGCTCATCCATGCTTGTCAGTTCTAGAGACTTCCACTTATTTTGTTCAATAACGTCACTATTTCAGTGAAGTTTCTCAGTTCTCACTGGATAAGAACAAATGACGGCGGTATTGCAAGTCTGTGTACTTCTTATGTTATAAAGGCACAAACTGCATCCAAACGGGATGTACCTTACTTGAACACCATCTTCTATCCCCTTTGAATTTCGTGCCTTTTAAGTTTGGTTGATGATGATACACAATACTTGGTCTAGCCTCTGATATCGAACTAGAAATATCTAAATCAATTTCGATTCGGAAAGTTTTAGTATATTCCTTGCATCGGAAGCCAAAAGAAACTCGCCAACAAATTTTTTATCAGGGAAACTCACCATTGAACAATTCACTTAAGTCAGTCTTCTTTCTCCTCTAGCATGGCTGAATATCGTGAGGAATTCTTCGGAATATTTCTTGCATCAAGAGCTAATAAAAGCTCACTTAGAGATCTGTAGGTGAACTCTTGAAGCATATTTATGGAAAACTGATTTCTGCAATGATGAAAAGGGGAGGCATGATAAACAGGAATTGAGGATTGAGCAAAGATCATGATAATATAACACATTCCAATTTCCAGAATCAAAGATCATGATAAGCGAAGGCATGGTAAAAAGAAAAGGACTAAACTGTATTTATACGATCAGCTATTCAGATTACAAACTTTCTGCCACTCAATCCTCTTGACAAGTTACCCAGCAATGCACAAAAGACTATAGCATTGCTTGTCTTCTTAAGGAAACATCTCTTACATTCACAGATTTTCAAATATCAAAACTTACAAACTATCCAACAACGCAGTACATCAAACTGTTAGTCATGTTGTGTTCATTCAACTGGGATCATAACCTCATTAGTTCTGAAAGGAGGCAAAGTCCAAGGGGGGTTGTACCTCGCCAGCACGAAATCCCCGACCACCTTATACCCATCTCTCTCCAGGCTCCTCTTGAGCTTCTCCACCTTCTCCTCAACCACAGTTTCTGATGCCACTCCTGCAAACTTCACAACCCCATATTTCTTTTCTCCTTCCTCTCTGATCTTCACCCTCTCATCCAACGGTTTTGGTGCCTCCTCAGCTTTCCCATACTTGGCCGGCAATATAAACCCCATAGTCACCATCTTCTTATTCTCCCCAGTGTCACTAGCCTTAGTCACAACAGGAGCTGTCATAGCAATGGCTTCACTCTCACTTCCACCAGAAGAATTCTCTGTGTTCTTCGTTATAACAGGAGCAGTCATGGCAATCTTCTCGGGCTTAGTATTCTGGGGATTCCCTAAAGCGCCAATATAATTAGCCAGAACTGTGAATCCTCCATCCTTGTTTCCCTTAAACTGAGATGGCTCGTAGGTGACTTCAGCTACAACAGAAGGTGGGTATTTGCGGATTTCGTAGTCAGTGGTGGATTTGATGACTTCGTAATTCGGAGTTTCGACGCCGATCTTCCCAAAGACCATACCCATTATGAATCGTGAAGGGATGAGCAGGGAATTGCGAGATGAAGGTAAGAGGTTGGAGTAGAGTACGGAGCGCTTCACGCCATTATATAGAGACATGGACGAATTGGGAGTGTAATGTAGATACTTGTTGATAGGGTTCATCTTGTCTTGTGTGGAGTGATCGAGATGAGCTTTGTGACGTGTTGGATAGGAATGTTTGATCATTGAACGGTGGTGATGCTGCCTTGCTGCCATCTGTTCGTGGCCTCCGTTCGCCCACGTCCCATATATAGTTACTGTTACATTCTCTTGTAAAATATAAAAGCTCGACTTTTATTTTGGTTATTACAATAATAATAGTTCTAACTAAAGATATTTTTAAAAGATAATATATATATTTATTATTAATAACTAATTTAATTATTTTTAATTTATTTTAATTAGTTAATTAGTTTTTATATTAAAGACTGGAAGTAGTATAAATTATTTTAAAAAATTCTTTTTTTGGGCCATGCATAGGATAATTGGAAATGCGAGTTCCTTAAAGAAATTAGAATTAAAAATATGTTGGGGAAATATAATGGGAGAATTATAATGAAATCCTAAGGAAGGAAAACACTTACTAAAAACAATCTCAATAATAACTTTAATAACCTATAATAACAAGTTTTAAAATAAAAAAGGGTAAAGATGCATCCAGTATCCCGAAATAGATTTTCAGGTACATCCAGCATTCTAAAATATTTTGTGATGCATCCAGTACTCTGAAGTATTTTTTAGAAGCGCCCAGCACCCTGAAGCATTTTTTTTGCCTTGATACTGAATGCACCAAAAAATATTTTTGGGTGTTAGATGCACCTAAAAATATACTTTGAAATGTTAGATGTACCAAAAAATATTTCACGGTATTGAACGCATCTAAAAAAATACTTCAGGATGCTAAATGCATCACAAAATACTTTAGGGTGTTGGATGTACCTGAAAAAATATTTCGGGATGTTGGATGCACCTTAACCCAATAAAAAATAATAATTTTTAAAACTTATTTTGTAATTATTTTTTTATTAGAGTCTCATTATAATTCTTCGAAATATAATTAGTGTTTGGTATTATGAAAAAATAGGTGGCAAATAAAAAAGCATTATGAAAAGATAAAACTGGGAAAAAAAAAAAAGAAGGACAAAGACGCCGTCCAGGAAAAAGTTGAAACTCCAATTAATACTATGCATTGATCATTTCACTTGTCATGATGAACCAAGGGACATGTACGTGGATGGATCATGGATCTACACTTATAGAGAATACTGGGGCCACACCTGGATTTAAAGAGATATTGTGGGCATGGCTCACCTAAGAATGATTTTCTTGTAGTTTTGTGACTGGGGGAAAAAAAAAATTTAGTACTTTTGTTATCAACTTAGCCATTAACATATTTATGATCGACAAAGCTCATGTAAGAAATTAAATTTACTAAAGCAAGGAAGAAGAAGGGTGAGAGATCTGTTTTTGTGTTGGGCAGATGTCAATTTTCATTTTCCAAAAATGGGAATTTTAACTGGCCCTTAAAAATAGTAAAGAAAACAAGATATAGTAAGAAAAACAACAGGTCATGACCCTCGTGCAACCAATCAAAATCCCCCTCATTCCTCCTCCCCTGCTATTTCAAAACTCACCCCAAAAATCCAATGTTTCTAACCCATTCTTTCCGTTTTATAAGATAACAAACACACCTCAATTTTCCCTTCATCCTTGTCTTGAATTTACCAGTTCTTCTTTTTTCTCTTGGGTTCAACAATGCGTGAAATCCTCCACATTCAAGGCGGCCAATGTGGCAACCAGATCGGAGCCAAGTTCTGGGAGGTTGTCTGTGCCGAGCACGGCATCGACCCCACCGGAACCTACAACGGCGATTCCGATCTTCAGCTCGAGAGGATCAACGTCTACTATAATGAAGCCAGTTGTGGAAGGTTCGTGCCCCGGGCTGTGCTCATGGACCTCGAACCCGGAACCATGGACAGCGTCAGAAGCGGACCTTACGGTCAGATTTTCAGACCTGACAACTTCGTTTTCGGTCAATCCGGGGCCGGAAACAACTGGGCTAAGGGCCATTACACCGAGGGTGCCGAACTCATCGACTCCGTTCTCGACGTTGTGAGAAAGGAAGCAGAGAACTGCGATTGCTTGCAGGGTACGTGTATATATTTCTGTTCATCAATCTCTTCGTAATAAATCCCACAATTTTATATGTGTTGAACATGTACAACAAGAACACGTTATCATCAAACAATATCGTTTTTTGATGTGATTTTGCAGGTTTTCAAGTGTGTCATTCTCTGGGTGGAGGAACAGGGTCGGGAATGGGTACCCTGTTGATTTCAAAGGTGAGAGAGGAATACCCAGATAGAATGATGCTTACTTTCTCTGTCTTTCCTTCCCCGAAAGTCTCCGACACCGTCGTGGAGCCATACAACGCGACTTTGTCTGTTCACCAGCTCGTTGAGAACGCCGACGAATGCATGGTGCTGGACAACGAAGCTCTTTATGACATTTGCTTCCGCACCCTCAAGCTCACCACGCCAAGCTGTAAGATCTTTCTTCCCTCTTGTTTAAACTGTTTGATTTCAATGTATATGGAGATTCTTGATTCGTACTCTGTTAATTTTTTTTTTCCCCTGAGGAACAGTTGGTGATCTGAACCATTTGATATCGGCCACCATGTCTGGAGTGACATGCTGCTTGAGGTTCCCCGGTCAGCTAAACTCCGATCTTAGAAAGCTGGCTGTGAATCTCATCCCCTTCCCTCGGCTTCACTTTTTCATGGTGGGATTCGCTCCTCTGACCTCTCGTAATTCTCAGCAGTACAAAGCTTTAAGCGTACCAGAGCTCACACAGCAGATGTGGGATGCGAAGAACATGATGTGTGCGGCTGATCCAAGACATGGACGATACCTCACAGCTTCAGCAGTGTTCAGGGGGAAGATGAGCACGAAGGAGGTTGATGAACAGATGATCAATGTGCAGAACAAGAACTCTTCATATTTCGTGGAATGGATTCCGAACAATGTGAAATCAACTGTGTGTGATATTCCTCCGACGGGATTGAAAATGGCCTCCACGTTCATCGGAAACTCCACATCGATTCAAGAGATGTTCCGTCGGGTGAGCGAGCAGTTCACGGCCATGTTCAGGAGGAAGGCTTTCTTGCATTGGTACACAGGGGAAGGTATGGACGAGATGGAGTTCACGGAAGCCGAAAGCAACATGAACGATCTGGTTTCAGAGTATCAACAGTACCAAGATGCTACTGCTGAAGAAGATGATTATGGAGACGAAGAAGAACACAATGACATGTGAATATGACAAGGATGGATTACTCATTCATTCGTATGAGCTCTAAGCGCAGGAATTGAATTTATTTCATCAAAATTTGAATTCTTTTGATTAATATATATTTCAAATGTTGATGTCTATACGGACCCAATATGCATTCTTTTGATTGATACTAGAGAAAGATAAAATATATCAGGTGGGGAATTAAATTTGTGAATCTTGGACCTCAAAATTGATCAAGATCGGACAACTTCAGGCTGGCTCTTATTCATCAGGAGGAATTCTGAATGTCAGAGTGAAGAGGAAAGAGATGAGTCAAGGCAACAGATAAGAATAGAAGGTGTTAGAAAGACAGATTTTTATTGCAGTTTCATAATTTTTCACCTTTCCGTATATTCAGGTTTTATTTATTTCACTATGAAAATATCCATGAACCGATTATAATCAGAAGAGAGATCCATAAAAACTAAATTAGGGTTAAAATTAAATACTCTCTTATATATATTATTGCGAATTTTCAACATCTTACTAACAATAAAAAAAATAAAAAATTGCAAATAAAGACCCCTAATATGTAAAATTGTGATTTGAGACCCTCAATTTGAAAAATAGCAAATAAGGACGGAGTTTCACTTTTGCAAATATGAAATATAGGTGAAATGTCAAAAATGTCCTTCAGCCAAATTGTGATTTAGGGTCCGTTTGGATCAGCGATTGGAAAAGTAGCTTATTGAAAAAGTAGCTTATGGAGAAGTGAAGTTGGTAAAAGCTAAATTGGATAAACTGAATTATGTTTGGATTGAAGTTCAAAAAAGCTAGTTTGCAAAAGTAAGATTGGTAAAAGTTTGTTTAGATTATAGTTGAGTAAAAGTAAGTTTGGCTGTAAAATAACCAAAATGGATATAAATTTTAATAAATAATGAAACATGATAAAAAAATGATTTAACATAATACAATAAAATTAAAATAATTTATTATGAAGAAGTCAAATTTAATAAGTGAATTAAATTTTAAAACTTTAAAGAAATCATAAAAAATATTTCTCTGGTCCTAAATATAAGACCTTAAAAAAAGGTCTTATATTTAGGACAGGATTTACACTATAAAAAGAGTTTTATATTTAGGACCGGATGAGTAATCTAAATATAAAGTAAAACATGAAAAAATAAATAAAAGTGAAAAAAAACAATAGAGGATATGGGAGAGGTCTGAGAATCTGAGGTGAAAAAAAAAAACTCAAGAAATGTGTTAATATAGCCGAAGTAAGAGGGTGGGGGGGAAGCTCTGACATGTGCAACAGTGAAAAAGCAGAATAAGCTCCAAAATAAGCTACAAAATGCAGTTTCTCCCCCAACGCTGGTTTAATAGCTTAAAACAGATAAGCTCCTTTTGAAGTTAAGCCCAACCAAACAGGTGACCACCTTGCAATCGGGCTTGTAGCAAAAATAAGCTACTTTTCACCCCAAATAAGCCCAACCAAACAAGCTCTTAGTTTACTGAAATTGTCATTCCCTAAAGTGAAATTGTCATTTTCCATAATCAACTCGTCATTTGACATACCATTGTGATTTGGTCTATTAAAATTATCATTGGCTAAAATGAATTTATCATTTTTCATAATCAATTTATTTTTGACTGAGGGAAATTTCAGACATTTTCCCGTGATTTCATATTTACAAAAGTAAAACCGGGTCCTTATTTGCTACTTTCCAAATTAAGAGTCCCAAATAATAATTTTAAGAGGTCTTTATTTGCAATTTTTTCTTAAAAAATTCTTAATCATTTTTAGATGGCGTTAGATGACGTGGATGAGGAAGGTCACAAAAGAGACAGATCAAAGTCATCCAACATATATGTGTGTATATGTATTCAACTGAAAATCATTAACAATATTTTTCCTTCTATTTCGTGTCAAATTAACAGATTAATTTTTTAACATTTCTTTGACTTGAAAAGAATATGATGATCATTTGCTCACCTCTCATTTTCATTGATGCATTATTCTAATCTTTCAAACATTAAAATATGGAAGATATTTTTACTCTCTGTCATACCACAAGCATTATTTTATATCCATGGATTTTATTTCATTCTCATTGCGATATTCTTCGTTGGTTAAAATTTATTACTTAATCCTTCCCCATACAAGTCCTCAAACTCTCTCCAAAGACAAAGAGAATTTAAAAATAATAATAATAACAATAAAGGAATGACAACATACAACGTCAAGAATATGCTTTCATCTTTTCACTCTTCTTATACAATAAAGGAATGACAACATACAACGTCAACAATATGGTTTCATCTTTTCACTCTTCTTATACAATAAAGGAATGACAACATACAACGTCAAGACTCAAGAATATGGTTTCATCTTTTCACTCTTCTTGCCCTTTGACTCATACAAGGTTCCAATGTTATATTTCAAACCACATTAGTATTGGGCAAAAATCTATCTACAAAATGCAGCATATAAGGTGCGAACCATTTAACATTAGCTAACTATATGCAATCGTTAATGCCAGGTTGGATCTCAATATGCAAATAGACAACAATAGGAGGAATATAATTGGATAGTTGTTTTACCATACTACAATACAAGACCAGAACCTTAAAATAAGCAAGAAACAATAATGTACAGCACAAATGCTTCCCAATCCAGATCTACTCCTTGCCATCTTTGATGGCCTTATCTACAACTACGCTCACCTTCTTGTACTCAAAATCTACAGGCTGCTCCCCGACAAACTCCTCCGGCACCACTGGACGCCGGTTGCCGAAGATGGTCCACAAATACAGCACAACAAATGCAGTCAATGCTCCACATCCACCACCAAATATCATAGCAGCAAGAACTCTCAGAACACAATCGCTCCTTGGTTTCACTTTTGCAGTTTCAGAATTCTTAGAAAGAGCCTTCAGATCCACAGGCTCTGAGTGCATCCAATTTGGAAAAGGCCTTTGATTGAAGCTCCATGAATGTAGAGAACAAGGTTGGGATTGAAAACTTCTATTTCCCTTCACAGAATTAAACCCCACAAACATTTCACTCTTTTTCCATATCTTTGTAAAGTCAATTGAATACCAAATCAAGGGATCCGCAGGCCTGGAGTGACCATACTGACTTAATCTCACTTCTAAGCGTTGTGAACTTGCTTCATAATCAATCCAAGTGTGAAGTTTTTGTCCCTTTCTTAGAGCCATCTTCAAAGAGGAGGTATTGCGTGTTTTTGCTGGTGCTGAATCACCCACATTAATGGCCACATTACAATGAGCAGACCCACCATTTCTGCTGCCAAACTCAGCGGTGAATTTAACATCGACAACCATAGATTTTCTTTTGCTCAATTGAGAAGAAGAAATCCCAGATGGACTTTTCTTAAAGAAATCATCTTGAAGACCACTCGGAACCATAACAAAAGCCAAACCATCCCCATCCACCGACAAGATCGAAAATGCAAAATCAGTGGAAAAAGAGATCAATTGCTTTGGTTTACCTCCAATAAGCTTGATGGGTTTTTTGTACATGACTCCTCCTCGGCTCTCAGACCCAGAGAGTTGAACCGCAGAACCACCATTGACGACCTTTGAACCGCCCAAAAGGGCAACATTGGACTCAAATTTCAGATCCTTGTCAAAATCAGGGAAAGAGAACGATGAAATTGGGTCGGAAGTTACGATTTTGAAGAATAAGACGAGGAAGGTGAAGGCCGTGAAGGAATGGGGAGTGGAAAAAGCGGCCATAATTGAGTTGGGTATGAGCTGAAAGTGGCTATATGTGGAGTTGCTTTGGATTCTAAAGCTCGTGGGTCGATCCCATTTGGGTGTAAGGTAAATTGCTGTCTAGGGTTTGTGTTGAGTTGAGTGAAAGAAAGAAACTGATGGGAAAGTGAAGATTTAAGAATAATCAAAATTGTTGGAGCAAGTTGGTGCTGGAATGGGGGGTTGTGAAAATTAAATACGGTTGCTCTGTTTCTGTAAAACCCGTGGCTCGCTTTCTCTTCTGTGCCAGATGACTCAGGGAATAATGGAATATAATAAAGGGGCATTCTGGCAATTTGAGCTTTATAATTATAATTACTAATAATTTGTATCCTCCACAGTCCACACATTATTTTTAAAATAAGTTGTGAAATTAAAAAAAAAAAAAACAGAGAGAGAATTGGCTTGTCTTATTTTGTTTTCTTGGAGGAGATTTCGTTTTCACTTGTTTTTTTCCCCAAATATTCACTTGTTTTTTCACATCAGCTATGTGAGAGGAAAATGAAATTGTAAAACCTTTATGCCTTCACTTTTTTTTCTTTTTCCAATTCGAAATGCCAGTCGGTGGTGGCATGTTGCTGTGAAAGTGAAAGATAAGCATCACTACAGAAAGCAAGATAAAATAAACTAAAGCTAGAAAAATATGTGCATAATTAATATATTGGGTAAATATGATTTTTATTTTTTAAAAAAATTGGATTTGAAATTTTTTAGATCATTTTCAGATTATTTATTACAATTTTTATTCCCATTTAATATTAATATAAAAACTTTGATTGGTGAAAAATACCCACATTTAAGTAATGGTCACTGAATAAATGTGTTTTCTGATATTTTGCGTATAAAACCTCATCAGGTAGCTCTTGTGAATAAAATTTTTAATGAGGGATTTTTTTAATTTTCAGACCTGAAATTCTATTTGATAAATAGAATGAGTAAAGCAGGAAAATGGGAGAGGAAGGGGACCATGTTAATTGTTAAAGGAAGGGGCACCATCCACGAGGGGACTTTATTGGGTGGCTTGCTTCCGACACTTTGAAAACTGCCTCTATGTGGGACACTGCGCCCCACTCGCCACATTCCCCTATCTCGCTAACCTGCGCCTCATTTCCAACCGAGACTGACACGTCACGATAAGATCGCACCCAAGGACTAAAGTGCCCCACCCAAGGACTAAAGTGCCCCAAAAATATATGAAAATGATTCATTTTGTATTCACATAAGTTTAGCTAGAAAATAATTTTTAATAGGAGTTGGATCATTTCCATCAAAATTCTGTATAGAAAATATAATCAATAATATATATGGTTTTAATTTGAGAGTTCCTTATTGCTAGAGTTTGTAGCTTATTGTTTTACTTCTACTATTGAGTTTTGTAATTTGTATAACTGAAATATGTGCGAATTATTATCTTAACATAAAAGTTAGTTATAAGATTTGATTTTAAATAAAATACTTTAATCTATTTTTTTTTCAAAATATCCTTATTAGTTATAAGAAGTTTTTAATAAAGAGTAATTTGAATAGACATTATTAAAGAGGATTGTTAATTAAGGAAGGTCAACACATGCTTATAACAAACAATCAATTTAACTAATTTTTGTTAATATTTTTAAATTAATTATTTAACTGTTATGTTAATAACTGGAAGTGGCACATTTGACAAATTCGTTTATTTTTGTTAACTTTGATCTATTTTTCTATGAATGCGTAGTTCTCCATGGTCCTCTTAGGTCATTTCCCTTTCTTTTCTTTTCTTTTTTCCTTTTACATCGAAATAAGTCATTTTCCCATTTGCAAAATCTCTTTCGCCAATGTGAGTAGTTGTTGGAGTACTCGTTAGGTGGCTGGAATCTTTCAGGCTTGTCAAGCGTCCAAACCACTGGCTCGGATTTGGTGCTCATTTGCTTGGAAAACAACTTCCACAGTTTAATTTTAATCGGTAGGGTTTACGTTTAAAATTTTTTTAATAAGGGTTGAGTATATTGGTGACGAATTACACTTGCTGTGACGTGTATCAGTGCAGCCTGTTTTTGTATTCATCTGAATTTATTTATGAGTTATCTTTAACATGTTAATTTTACATTTTAAAATTCAACAATTTTCTGATTTTATTATTATTTAATATACAGTATATTTTATAAAAATAAAATTGACACAATAATAAATGAAAGATAAAATTCTACATTCATATAAAAAATTTAATAGAGTGACTTACAAACAGTATAAAAAAATCATTCTTTCTCAACCTTACAAATAGAAATAGAGAGTACTCCTCCGGTCCTTATTATAAGACCCAATTTGACTTTTTATTTGGTCCTAATTATAAGACCCAATCCATTTTCTCTCTTATATTTATGTATTTTGTTCCAAGATAATCCTTCTAATAATGATAGTTTTAGCCAATATACTTAATTAGCAAGGATATTTTAGGAATGACAACACTTATTTATTATAAATAATCAACTTAACTTACTTCCTTAATCTCCTCAAATAAGTCAATTGGGTCTTATAATTAGGACCGGAGGAGTATAATCTTATTGGTGTATGTATACACTACTAAATTATGTCACCATTACATGCTTTTTGTGAGTAATAAACAAATGTTATATGCCAGGTCATGTATGTTTTACATCGAAATTAAATTTCTGGCACAACGATTTCAAAGAATGCGTCTTCAGAAAAACAAAACAAAACGTGTCTTTTATATTACTTTCAGTTTTAATTATAAAACCTCGTTTATAGACTATAAATGAGGTTTTTTAATTAAAACTGGAGGTATTATAAGATCTTGTTTGTAATCCACAAAGAAAATCTTATAATTAGTTTTGTTTATTTTTAATTTTAGTGAGAAAGGGTGTCCATCACTACCATCAACTTCCACTTTAGAAAGCCAAGGTACCGGTCGTCAAATGTATAAAAAGGATTCGTCATTATTCTAGGGACTGTTTTGGATAATCCATCAGTATTTTAAACAAATTCATTCCCTTTTTTCTTTAAAAAAAAAAAGAAATTAAAAGAGACTGGTGTGTTATTTCTTATTTTCTTTTTACTCCCAAATGAGATCCACTATATGAGTGATAAAGACACGATCATGAAATATCGCAAACGAGAATCAGAATATATATATTTTTTTTGGGGTGTATTGACGAAGCTCGACTTATAAACCCAACATGTCCACCTAAAAAAAAAAAAGGAACTTATTTATTCCTAAAAGTTGGTTGTATAAATCAAAGTAAAAAAATAAAAATTGCAGAAGGGGTTGCAGGCAATGAAAGCAAAGAATATAGGTGAGGCTTTAACGGTGAGTGGCGTGTGTTGGCTGCAAAATTAAATTACTAAATTATCAAATCATTAACAATTCCAAAATTACTATATTTCATTTATAATATAAAAACTAGTTTAATATTTAATTTGATTTTAAATATAAAATTTAATTCACTTTATCGTTCATATTTATTCATCTATGTTAAATGTATCATTAAATAGTAGTTCTAATTAATAAACATGATTAGTTGGGGTATTCTAAAAAAGATAACACTTATTTATTATAAATAACTAACTTAACAATCTTTCTTAATTTTCTCAAATTAATCAATGTGTTCTTATAAGTTACTCCATTGGTGAGCTGCAATGGAATCCTGTTCTCTCTGTACTTAATAATGATACTTTGTTTTGTTCCATTATTGTAAAACCCAACTGTCTCCCCTCGCAATGCAGCGTTGTCACTTGCTCTTATTTGGATTTTCTTTGTTCACGGAAACTTTCCTTATCCAATATTATTTAATATTATTGGAAAGTGAGTTCCCGGGTAATCTCATGCAGCTTAACTTATATTCCATTCAGAGTCTTAAAGTTTTTTTTTTAAATTTCGTACTTTAAAATATTTTCTCAGTAGCATTTAGTATTATAAAGTAATTATTGATAAATTTTATACCCCAATATATTTTTCGGTAATACTTAGTATCTTGACTTTATGATGCTCATTATTACTAAACAATATTTCCAGAACAAAATTGTACAAAAATCTATTTTAAAGGACTAGGTGTAATTGAGAAAATATTTCAGAATTATTACAGCAATTCTTAATATTACTCAAATGTCACCGGAGATATTAATATTATTCATAAATATAAATTAATAACATTATTTAAAAAAAGAGGGATAACCCTTAATTCAGTGTGCTTATCCGTTATCAAAATCATGATATTCTTCTGGTTCTAAATATAAGACCAATTTTATAATATAAATTATATTATAAAATAAGTTTTATATTTAGACACAGAGGAGTATGATCAACTGGCCATTCTCATAAAATAAAAATTAGTATGACCTTAAAAACACAAGCAAAAATAATATTATAAATGAAAAAATCTCACAAAATGAATCTGAAAAATATTAAACTACAAATCAGTCCTGTTTCTTACATTTTAATAGGTTTTAACTACACTTGATAAGAAAATAACAACACATTTTTATGGGCAATTTTTTAGGGATTTAGCATTAATTAAATAACTAGTTTCATTAATTAATATAAAGTAGTTATTAGGTGCTTATAATAAGTATAAGAGGGAGCATTATTTAATTAGGAACGAATTTTGCTTTTGCTCAAAACTAACATTATATGGGTAAGTAATGGTGATGTGGGAGAAAATGCCAATAAATGACAAAATTAAAATGAAAGTGAAGATCATAAGAGACGATGATACTGGTACGATGTCACGTCATCCATGTTACGCCATGTGATATTGGCGTGTTTGGTAGCACGTTCATGTTAGTTACCAAATTAACTAGACAGCAACCAGGTGTCGCGTTTCTATTATTTCATATAATCTCTCCTACACAATCATTATTTATTTTGTTGCCCTTCGGTGTCCTGTGAAATAGGGAAATGTAAAGAAAATGTGTGAATAATCATTATCAATATATACACACAAAAATGAATCATTTCTGCTGTGGTGAACAAAACAAACCTATTAATTAGTTTTTACATTTAGAATTAGCAAGTAATAGTAAAATTTGCTTCTTCTTTTTTTTGGGTTGGAAACAATGAAAAGCATGTCCAATTGAGATTTAGGCTCTGTTTGGGTGCTCCAAAACCGTGATTTCAGAAGCATTTTTCCGCAAAACGAGGTAACCGTCTCCACATATTTACTTCGTAATCCGTAAAAGCACTTCTGAAACCATGGTTTGGTTT